CCCCCCCCCCCCCCCCCCCCTTTCGATCGTTTTTCGTGGCCGCGCGTGCAAGCCGATACGCGTATATATAAACGACGAGACTACGCGACGAAACGCGTTTTTCGTCAAACTATGAAACGCGGAAAACGCGTTGATCGTGGACCGCTGCACGCTTCATCGCAGTCAGGCAACACAACGGAAATCGATGTCCAACGTGTATAAAGCTAAGACGAAACTGGTTTTCACAATGATTTGACAGATAGATTTGATTCTGAGATCATTGTGAAAGCTGATTTTGTTTGAAAATCATCGGAATGCATCGAATGGATACGTCGTTGTTATCGTTGGTGGTCGTGGTGGTGTCGTAAGCTACGCACGCACACGCGCGCGCATACACACACACACACACACACACGCACGCACACACAGACACACGCACACACGCACACACGCACGCGCACACACACAAAGAGAGAGGAAACGCGCGTTCCTCTCGGATCTTGGAAATGACCGAATCGCAAAGATCGCGCGGTTTCTCATTCACCGTCTCAGGGTGTAATTGTTGACGGATAAATAAATGGAACGTACAAAGAAGCCTCTGTCTCTCGAGCACATCGCTCGTCGCAGCACGCGCTTCACGGCGCGCGCCTCGAAATTTATGATTCATCGAGGAGAAAAGGAAAAGGAAAAGGAAAAGAGGGAGAGAGGAGAGAAGAAGATGGAAGAGAAAAGCGATGGGAAAAATCGGTGGGTGTTTCGGAACGATTACGTAACGATAATCGCGAACAAGCATCCGAGTAGGAATCGCGGGCACGGCCGGGAAGGAAAAATAGGGGAAAAATAGTGGAAAAATAGGGGAGAAATAGGGGAAAAGGTAGGAGGGAGGCAGGGGAGGGAAAAAAGTAGGCCCTGCCTCCTTGCTCGTTGTCGGCCTTTCCGCGGAGAGAAGAAGAGCGGATGCCAACCGCTACCCGCCAATCGAGTATCTAGAGCACGAACGAACGATGTGGTTTTTTGTCGGAATTTCCGGTAGTGATTTATCAAACGGGAAAGATGGTATCGGACGAAGAAGCAACGGCAAGAAACGACTTCTCGTGGAGAAGCCGAAGGAGCTAGAGAAGCGAGAGCGAAGAAAGAAGGGGAGGAGAAGCAGAAGAAGCGAAAGAAGATGGCTCGCGAGTGGCGGCGGAGCAACGAGCTATCCCGCGCAAACTCGGAATGCCTGGCTATGCACCCGACCACGTACGAACGCATGCTCGAGCGCTATCAAGTGTCAAACGAACCGAACGTAAGAAAAACCAAACGTCCGAGCTGCTGCGCCACGGAATTTTGAGAGAACGCAGCCGGAGACGAGAGATAGACGGATAGACGACGGATAGACGGAGAAGAGGGTGGGAAGGAGGGAGAAAGAGCGAGAAAAGAAACTCTAGATTCTAAACGGTGTATCATCCGTGTGTGCCCCGACGGTCATCCACACCGGCGGACCCTTCGACCCTCTTGGCGCATCACCGTCTTGACAGCTCGAGGAAACGCCGCGACCAGAAGTGTGTCCTCCAACTCAACCACCGCCATCTAACAACCCCTTTTCTCCTCCTCTTCCTTCTCCTCCTCTCTTTCTCCGAGAAGATCGAGTTTGACCGCAGGTGGTCGCGCGATACGGCCAGGCACCACCTTCTCCAAACCCGTCTATCCTATATGCATATATATATATATATATATATATACACCAACGTCTCGCTAATCACGTACGTTCTTTCTTTCAGATCAGCTCGTAACATCCTCCGAGAGAAATCTACGGCTCGCTCGCGCGCATCTCTGCTCTCCCCTTTGACGTAGCATCGATACACTCGACCTTAGCTCTCCGAGAACTCGTAAGTCCCGCGCGTTTTGTTACGCATCCGCGAGAACCAGCCGACCAACGAGTTTCTTCCTCTTCGTTCCTTTCTTTCTTTCTTTCTTTCTTTCCTGCCACTCACGACGCGACCCAACGAGGGGTGGTGGCTCGTAAAAAAATCCTTGGCAAATTGGGCCACGAGACGGGACACGCTCCTTCTCGTATTTCCAGTCGATAAACCGCGGCGGTCAACGTTCCGTCTCTCTCGCTCGCGTTATCGAGCCTGACGTTATTTTGACAGGACCGCGAGAAAATTTATCGTGGAGAGTGTAAAGGTGGTGGCAGTTACGCGAGGCCGACAATGTTTTCAGCTATTAGACGAAACAAGTCACCGGTCTTTTACGAGCACTCGCGGTGACCCAGAGCGCGTCGTAAATCCCGACGGTGGAGGCACGGTGCCTAATTCGCGTGGGTAATTTCCCCATCATTCGCTACTCAGCTGATATTTCTCTCGATCGACTCGCACTACCAACAAACGGCGAAACTCGAGCGTAGAAACGCGTAAATAATCGAATACGGCCACTCTCGTCTAATCGACCTCCGCTCCGTTATCGGTTTCAAACGGGCTCGGCATAGACGCGAGAGAAAAAGCGCGCGCGCGAGAGAGAGAGAGAGAGAGAGAGAGAGATTTTTACGAGCTGGAACGTTAAAAACGATGTCGTAAAAACGTCGAACCGCGATTTTCTGGAAAACTCGTAAATTCTTGCGCCCACTTGTAACTCTCTTCACGGGTTCCCGCCGTCGTCTCGAGGGTCCGTGTTTCGATAATCGAATTTCATTCGCTTTCACGGCCACTCTCTCTCTCTCCTTTCCGTGCCATCGTCGATTACCATTAGTTGGTTTGGTCGAGGCGTTGGCACAGAGTGGCGAGCGTGGAAACGGCGAGACGAGAAAAGGGTTGCGGTAACGAAGGAAGGATCGCGGGGAGGGTGGCGCACGTGCGTAACGCGCGACACCCTCTCGATTCCGTCTCGGTTCTTTCGTGGCACGGATGTGCGCACCATCGCACACGCGATTCGCTCAACTTGCCCGAAGAAGGCCTTTTCTCCTTGGACCGCTGTTGCTCGCTGAGCTATCTCTCGACTGGCCGCCGTCGTTGCTCTCGCGAGGCCGCGAGGCACGAGCAACGGGCCGAGCTTTTATCACGGCCGAATCGCCGCTAACCACATGTGTACCGAGCAAAAACCTCCTCCTACACCCTCTTCTTCTCCTACGCCTCTCTCCTCCTTTTCCCGTCTTCCTTTCCGTTGGTCCTCGCTCGTGGCCACGAGAGACGAACGCGGCCGCGCGGGTGGTCAGCTCGCGTACCGACCAAATTACCCGAGATAATCCTCCCGCAAAACGCCCTCATTTCCTCCCTTTTTCCCGTCCGAGACTCGGGTGCACCTTCGGAACGCTGGCCGAATCGCGCGCTCGATCGAAAGCTCCGTGGAACCCGAGCTAGAACCGTCTCCGGTTGTAAATTACGATAATAGCCGAGAGCGCGAGGACGTTGCAATCGGAATGGCAATTAGTCTTCAGTCTGAATCGGCCGAGCGGTTTATCGCCGTTTCACGGTTATCGCCGTGCGAGTTTTCGTCGTGCGATTCCCAAGGAAAAACCGTCGAGACACCAACCCCTTTCCATCCTTTCGCGTCGTCCCGTAAACACGCGCGCGCGATACTCGTCGTAACCTTCGCGTAAAGAAACGTCCGCGGCAGAGGGAAAAGTAAACGCGAAATGGGTAAAGAGGGGTAAGAATTTCAGGCCTTGAAAAGCGAGGAAAGATACCGCGCCGACCCGTCCAAGACGAAGGACGCGACGACGACGACGACGACGACGACGACGACGTCGGAGGGTCCCTGAACGGTATCTGCGATCGGCCGTTGGACGAAACGAGAGGACTACGTCGGCGCGCGAGTTCAACGCGAGGAACGTAGTCGGAAACAGAGAAGGATTCTTTCCGAGAAGTTCGCCGCTGTCCCGTATCTCGAATCACTCTCTCTCTCTCTCTCTCTCTCTCTCTCTCTCTCTCTCTGCCAAACGCCAATTATCATAAGCCACCGCTAGTAATTAACGGGTAAAAGAGCAATGAAGAGAGAGAACATCGGCCAACCGTTATCCCGTCTCGGTTTCGCCGCAAGGGGAAACAGCTCCGATGCTTGGAACCGTTCCATCCTATTTTTCTCCACGTCTCGAATCTCCGATAGACAACTCCGATCGCCGCGCTACTCGCTTCTGGCATATGCCAATGCCTTGCGCGATACGCGCCTTCCAACCAGCCTAGCAAAACTTTCGACCCAATGCGAAATTCCGAAAAATCTCGGAATGCTCCGATACTCGATAATCGACGCGCGTTGCTACACTTTTAACTCCATCTTAACAGACGGGGTTTCGTCCCAGAGTCGGCGATCGCGTATTCGCTAGGACTAAGAATACATTTGGGCAAAGAGCATACTCGGTATCTTCGTAGAAATCTTTTCGCCGCTTTTACCTCGCGTTCGCGCGTTATAATTAACTGTCGCTATTATTTCCACGATTTAACCATCATTTCCTCCTTGTCGCAGAGAACGAGCCAACGAGAGACGCGGAAAGATGAGAAGAAGCACGAGCCAGACGGATATCGAAGGTTTACGCACAGTTACGGAGGAATGATTTGCAAAGAGCTAGTAAGTAGCTTTGTATCCGAACTTTGATCTATTGAGAATAACGCGCAACGCGGTAAAAGATTCCAATTCCTCGGAAACTCGACACCGTTTATCGATAATACCTTCATTTCGTAGCTCGTGTAAATCGTTCATCTTTCTCTTAATCGTTTTTCTTTCTGCCACAGACGCGAAGGACCAAGACTTCCACATTCGTAGAGGAAAAACGGCGAAACGTCGACGACGTTCGAGAAGACTGATTTCCATTCCATCGTGCACCATGGATAACCATGCCACTGGATAAGCCCGATTTTCCCTGAGAAATAATTTTTCACTTTTAATAGTTTTCTGCAACGTCGCGTCAATAATTTGCACCGAGAAAAAACCTTCGTCGTTTCTCGTGAATGATTTCGTAACAGTTTCTGCTCGGATCAGCTCTGATCGACGCAAATGCGCAATGTTTGCGAGAAAAATTACCGCGCGTATTGCGATTAACTTACATATCGCGGCGATTTAATTGCAAATTACGTCATGTATATGTTCAGCCAATCTTGTTAAATAAATTAGTTCGTTAAAACGGATGCTGTCGTTCCTTGATTTCACCTTGACACTATCCTTTTCCGGCCACCATTTTCCACTGTCGTTTCCCATGAATCACGATGGACAATGTAAACGCGCGACTGAAACGTAAAAGTGCAAACCGAAAATGCATACGACGGTACGGTAAAACTTAAGCGGCTAATTAATTACTCGTTGAGAATTTCCAGGACTTGCGCTTCGTTTCTAAGAATTTACGAGTTTCCATGAATTTAACGCCATTTCGATGAATCTACGGATTCCGAAGAATTCGACGAGTCAAGCGCAATTTCGCCGCAATTCCAAGAAGCGCCTTTAAAAATTTTCTCCATCGATTAACTTTCGCGATTTCTTTCAAATTTGCCGAATCCTTCGATGGGGTTCCTTTGGAAATTTTTCGTCCGAATTTATCCACGATGCTGATCGTTTAAAAAATTTAACGATTAATCGACCCGGGAAATCTTAGGATCGCTAGAGGAACAGTGGTATTTAAACGAATAAACTTTCGGCTAATCTTCTTTCCGAAACCCTTTGACAAGTACGAATACTACGAATACTACGAATGTAGAAAATTCGTGATAAACGTGCCATTCTGCCATTCGAGAGAAATAAATTTAATATTCGTACGCGCTCGCTGCTTTTCTTCCGCGTATTCATATCGACGAGTTAGTTACACGGGGAGAACAATTAGGACCTGGATTCAGCGATCCGCCATCTCTTGGATTTCGCCTGGAATCTACGACTCGGTGATAGGAACACAGGACCAGCGAGGAGGTATGCGAGTGACGTCACAAAGAAGGACAACACCGTGCGAGAAGGACAGACAAAGTATGGCTACCGCTTCGCGTTATACGCTTCTGTTGCCTTCTAATACGTCGATGTCGGCCATTGCAGATTAATTAATCACTCTCTTACGCTTACCAATTTCCGTACTTTTAGACTCGAATATTCGAGACAGGATCTCGGGTAACTTTCACGTGCAGTTTTCCGTCGATATTTTTCTCCGATTAATCGACCATTCGCGTTCGAATATTCGCAGAGGTAATCGTTAACGATTAATTAATTAAACGAAAATTCTCGTCGAAAGGCATACCTAAGAATTGTTCACGATCGTATCTTGGATATGCGAGTCCAAAAGTGGAGAAATGCGTAAGAGAAAATGAATGATTAATTAACTTTCAATGGCGGCTTCGATGTATTAGGAAGTAACAGGACCACATGACGCGAAGAAGTAGTCGCGTCGGCTGTCCTATGCGCGCGCAGTCGCCGTCCTTGTCTACGATTCCGGCGCTCGGATACCTCCACGCGTGTTCTGCGTTCCTACTACCGAGTCGAAGTTTCCAGACGCCATCCGCGAGATGGCGCTGATCTCTTGAAACCGCGTAATGTATCCTTACAGGTATCACCTTTATCGTCGCTTAACGATTACGCTCTAAAACACGCTCGTGAGGATGTGTAAGGACGGAACAACTGGTCGTAATAATGTTAATTTATTTTACGCAAATATTCAGATTATCAAATAAAAGCGCAGAATTAACGAAATTTCAAATACATCGCGCATCAATTAATTAATTAGTAACCGCGTGCGTAGTCGTGCAGTATTAACGCGTGCGAATGCGCATATCGCTGATATTCTCGTTTACATAACGCGATAAAATATAGTAAAAAAGAGCGCTTCTTCGACGCATGTAGGAAAGACGCACGGATTGATTAAAAAAATGCGAATATTAATTAGGTTTCTCTCTGTCCTCCATTCGCCATTTCCTATTCTTGTTTATGACGTCACGCAATGGGTGGAGCCAAGGTATCGAGATCACGAGAACCTCCTCGCTCTTACTCGCGCTCCTGTTAATTCGTCGCGATTTTTAATCGAAATTAGTATCGTCGATAAATCCCACTGACATCGAATGCTAAATCTTCGTCTCTTTCCTTGTCCAATTTATCTGTGTGCGTTACGTGCTGGAATTGAAAGATTTCCTCTTATAAGAAAAATAAATTACCGCAAAACAATAACGAAAATAATGTTCGATAGATTGGAAAAGGTCTTCGATAGAACGAGATAGACATTCGCGTTATACGTAAGTACGCGTAGATCTATAAATATCGATGACGAATAAGGCTTAAATTAATCAAAACAACGAGTATCCGTCGCATTTAAACGTTGAAAGGTTCCGATAAGAAAATAACGATGCTTGTTATTTAAAGGGTCATTTATTCGAAAAGCACTACAAGAATGCACGGTGTGCAGAGTGTGTCGAATATCCTACTGCTCACCTGTTACCAGAAAAGTAAAAGTACCGGAAGCAAAGATAAGCGGTATTATTTAGCAGGAACGCGAGTCTTCCGGCATCTGCCTAGAAAAGCTGGTCACAGCGGTAAAATACCGATTTTAAGGAATAAGAAGATCTGCCTAGGTCCCTTTATAACGACGAGCAATTTTAGAAGAATAATCGTTTCGATATTTCAAGGGGCAATTTTCTGCTCGTCGTAAAACTCGCGGCGAGATCTCGAAAGAGACGCTTCCGAAAGAGATATTCGCGATAGAGGAGAAAAAGAGACGAGGGAAAGAATTTTCCGAGGAAAATCGTAGAGTACGGATAGAAGACGGAGCGAATCGGCGGTACGAAGCTGGAAACGGTTTGTGGTCGATAACGCGAGTTACTCTTTACGTGGAAGCATACCCGACGTAAAGTTTGCGGTACAAAGCGGAGTTTATCGATATCTGTGGCATAATAATTACCATGGTAACGCGACGATAAACCGATGGTACCTACGCGTGTTTGATTTGCCATCGAAGAGAAGACCATCGGGCTGTAGGGTTCCGGAAGGAACGGCGTACAGTCATGTTCGCGTGTATGGGTATGTACAAGCTGGATGAAATTCACACGTGGCCGTCTCCCTCTCGCGCTATGTACTTACACTCCGGTCGATTAGATTTCGCGCGAGTTCTCCGTCGAGACGCTTCTGTCCGTCTGTCTGTCTGTCTGTCGGTCGGAACGGTGGTGACTCGGAGGCTCGGAGCGAAATCGCGGATGGAATGTACGCAGAGGGGGTGGAGCGAAGATGGAGATAAAAAAAAATAAAAAGCAGAGGCGAAAAGCGGAATCTGGAAGCAACCGCTTTCCAAATACGTTAATTATTGCGCTAATTAGGGATACGATTGCACGAGCGCGATAAGCGTCTCGATGGCTTCGTTGTCCGCGAGGCGGACGCGGTTGTTCGTCGGGCGCGGGCCGAGCCGAATAATTTTATTCTCGGGATTTCGAGGAAAGCAGAGCGAGCAAAGGGTTGCGCGCATTATCGAGATTAGGCCGAACGCGTATCTCTACCGTGTATCGCGTGTATCGCGGTCTCGCGTGGCTCGCGTCGAGATTCCGATGAATGGATAGCAAGGAAAATATAACCGAGCGATAATAGGAGAATCGGGACAGCTGCGGAAGGATTTACGACTCTTTGTGCACGCACCGAATAATGCTCGCGACTGTCCAAAAATTTATCGATCCTATCTGCCCTTACCGGCAAATATTTACATCGCACACTGAATCTAGGAGGATGTCAACGTACTCTCCCCGATTGCCCAAGGTACGCGCGTTTTTCTCTTGCATCGTGGCGATTTGGAAAACGTGAGAAATAGGGGCGGGGGGGGGGGAAGGAAAAAGGAGCAGGAGGCGCGGAAAAGTAGGAGAAAAGAAGAAGAGACGAGTCGGAGGAACGATGATCGCTTCCTGCTTTCGCGAGAATTCCCTCCGTCTCCTCGGCATCGTGATATTTATGGATTCCGAGATTAAAAGCGCGCTGGTGATTAGCGCGAGGAGACCGAGCTCGGAGTAAATTAATTATATCGACCAAGCATCCCGATAACTTATAACTGAATGCCTCTTTGTCCACGAGTTTGCTTCGTATCCGGACCGGTCGACGAGATTTCGACATTTTTTTCCTCGCTTCGCGGAAGGATCTTGAAAATCTTGCCCGCGATAATAGGTGTGTTCCGAACGTCTGCCTCTTCCCTCAATGGAATCTATTGTAAACGGAACGCGGAGGCAGGCGCGTTTCCGGGATCGAGAATCCACCGTACTCGCGCACCGGCAGTTTTATCCGATCCCCGAGGGATCATTCGTAATAACGAATCTTCGCGGCAAACCTTTTGCGCGAACCTCTTCTCTCGGCAACGAGACCAACGTTCCTCGCGAGCCATCTCTCGACCGACACGAGCAGCCGCGAAAAAACCAAACAGCTGCGGAACGCTGACTCTCGTCAACTTTTTCCCTCTCCCTCTCTCTCTCTCTCTCTCTCTCTCTCTTTTCTCTTGCCGAGGAAAAAAATTCACTGTCACCGAACGCGATATCGCTACGCAGCGCCGACGTCGAGGTCGACGTGGTCGGCACGGACAACCGCGAACGGGATGAAAATACGCGATCCGATGAAGGCACGGATTATTCCTATCCGTAACGATCGTCTTTGCTTTTCTCGCCAGGCGAATCCAACGTACAGCGCGTGTGTACGCGTTGGCCGAGAGAAAAGCGATTCGGAGCCGGCTCGCGGACCGAAAAACGATCCGTCGAGCGTCACGCGTTGGACGAAAAACACGCGAGGGTCTCACACAGAGCCTTATAATCTCGAGACGCGGGTAAGTGGCGTAAAAGTCGCGACACGACTATTCCCACGTTCGCTCGTTGGTCGGATATTCGTTCCGCGATAAGGCCTGTTTACTCTCGGAAACTTGGAACGGTCCATTCGCGGTTCTTCTAGTTCCCTCGTACCCTGCGCTCTACACCTCCTAACCCCGTTCGACCAACCCCGCTCAAATATTTGTCTTTTTCCGCTTCTTTCGGAAGGACATATCGCGCGAGCAAGTTGCCATCTAAACGCGCCACTAGCCGAACCCGAGCCGACGCAATTCCACCGGAGTAATTTCGAAAACGTCGTTGTACACCTCGAATACGTGGTACTACGATGACGAATACCAAGTTCCAGTTCCTGCCATCATCTCTCGTCGTCTTTCAACGCGTCGCGTTTCAGCGACGGGAAAACTCTGCGGTAACCTCGCGAAAAGGAGAAGGGGTAACTATCAATCGTTGTCTTTCAACGCGAAACAATTTTTCTTTCTTTATTCCGACAAACCTTAGAATATACCGTCATACTTATAAATTAACTCTTCGAACGCACATGCGTTTGTTAAATGTTACTACACGCTCTACGCATTCGCGCTTCTTATAGGCGGCGCGATAAATGTATCTAACGATAATTGTAAGTACAAAAGCACGGCTATCGGCATAACATAACGAAAACGGCGTTAGTACTCGCGTTTATCATCGCGATGATTCCGCGTGCTTCGTTTTCCGCTCGCTTCGTCGAAACTCTCTCTCTCTCTCTCTCTCTTCTATTCCGCAAAGGCTGAACGCCAACATCGGCATCGCAGCCTAACAACACAACACCACCGCGATCGAAATTCGCGTGCGTGTAGAGACCAGCCGTCGCGTGGCTTTCGCGATCGAGCTACGACCGATCGAATTTCTCGAGTTTATTCGAAGAGCGTGCCAGCCAGTGCAGCAGCACACCACCGGGCGCTTCGATACGCGAGCGAATCGGTCTCGCCAACGCCACGACCGGTTTACGCTTCGTGCCTTATATATTATTATTATATTTAGATCACGCGGCAGGATGCCGTATCGAGCGGGCTCTGTTTGTTTAGCCTGAAATTCTGCGCTTTGGAATGGCCGACTGTCATGGAATGATGTCATGGAGTAAGATCGTGGCTGAGCAGCGCGCCGTCGTCTCTCTGCTACGCTACACGCGTTCGTTCTTTCCTCTGGACGCGTGGAGAATCGGGGAATCGGTTTCCTCACGACGTTTACCAGCCGATGCAACACGAACGCGCACACGCGCACTCCATATACACGCAAGCAAGCACGCACGCACACACCCACCCACGCAACATACGCATCGAGCATGCCCACTCGCAGGGGCACGCTCGAAGGGATCAGCAAATAAAATCGTTAACGCTGAGAAAACTTAATCGCTAGCTAGAGTTCGTACAACGGGGAGATACCGAGAGATTTCTCGGAAAAATCTCGCTGTCGCGCGCATTTTCTCTTGGTTCCTTTACATGTAATGCGGCCAGGTTTCGATACCAGGTACGTAACGTTGGTACTGCGCGTACGACGTAGACACGTGGGGGTGGTTCATCTGCGTGGTCGCGTGCGAATAGTGCGGATTATGGGAAGAGGATATGTATTGCATGGGTGGAAGGGGTGGTTGAAGCTCGTGATATCTGATTATGTCCGTCTGCGGTCTATCCTCCCAGGACGTCTCGGCGATCGGCTGTTCCGAGCAGTGTCGCTTGTTCGGTCGTTCCACCTCTTCGTCGTATCTGAAAAGAAGCAAAGAAGAAAAAAGAAAAGGGTGGCGTTTCAGCGAGGAAACGGAAGGAACGTTCGGCGATTAAGAGTGAAAACGGGCGTAACGGACAAATAGACGATACCTGTTGAATATCCACTGCGGCGAGGTGGTTGTCGGTGCGGCTACGTGTACCGGTGGCACCTGTGGCCGAAGATACTGATCCAGCTCGTTGCTCTCCACTTCGCACTCTTGCAGATTCAACGGTAGATTAAGACCGACGCCTGCCAATGATCCGAGGCCGTTCAATTGACCTTCCTCGATCGGCAAGCTATCCCCGACTTCGATGTACCTGAAATCGGCTCCGGGTTGCAGCTGATGCGACTCGCTCGACGAACCGATCGCCAAATCTTGCTGATACACCGTGCTATTCGGCTGCGGCTGATTTCCCTGCGAACCAAATTTTTCCTTCCCTCTCGGTCTCCGCGCTCTCTTTTTTCCCACCACGGAACGCCAAAATCGTCGCGATTTCCCGCGAAATCGCCAACCGAACCACCTTACCTGATTCGCGTAATGTTGCCCTCGGGGAGTAGTGGGAGGAGTCGGAGGCGACAAGCCTTGGTTAGGAGTAGTCGGAGGAGACGAACTCGTTCCGCTCTGTGGCGAATTCGGTCCCTGAACGCCTCTGGGACTCGCGTCCTCTTGCTTCAGCGATCTGGACACGTTGAAAGTCACGTTGTTGCTTTGGTTCCTCGACGGCGACCCTTCCCTGCCCGACGGTCCGTTTTGCTTTCGTCGACGAGGTTGATACTTGTAGTCCGGATGCTCGCGTTTGTGGATCACGCGAAGACGGTCCGCCTCCTCGATGAACGGTTTCTTGTCGTTGTCCGACAGCAATCTACGACAGGAAACGCGACGACACCGGAGGATCAGTGGAAATCGCCAACCTCGCGATCTCGACCTCGCGACATTCGCGTCATCGACGACCAAGGTTCACACGCGCGCGCGCGCGCGCACCCTTCGTTCCTCGTTACTCGCCGCCGCGCGTATAATACTCGAGGCAGAAGAGGTCGAAACGAGAACGTTTCTATCACCATACGATACACTCGAACAGTCGAAATGGGAGGTCTGGTTAGTGTTTCTCGCCGCGTGGAGTCTTAAGGGCGCAGTTCACGCACACGCGTATATTATACCGAGTGTAGGAGAACTCGAGCGATTCTCCTTCGACTCTGCATCTCGACTCCGCATCGCGTCTCTCCTTTCGGTCAGTCCCGTGCATCTCGTCCCGTCTCGTCCCGTCCCGTCCCGTCCCGTCTCGTCGCGACGCGTTAGTCTTTAATTCCTCGTGTTTATGTTCCCACTGGGCTCGTAAAGCCCCAAGACCGATAAGCTTTTCCGGTGTGCGTAGCCTGCGAGATCGTCGAGCATTCCAGCAACAACCATTTCACCCTTTTGGCTCCTTGCTCCTGTCGCGGCACGCGCTTCCCTTCTCTTCCCGAATCTAATACGAAATACGTTGCAGCGAGAAAATGAAAATGGAAATGGAAATGGAAATGGAAATGGAAATGGAAATGGAAATGGAAATGGAAATGGAAATGAAAATGGAAATGGAACGATCCGAAGAAGAAGGAGATCGGATCGAGAACGGTATTTCATAACGCGCGCGTGTCGTTGCTGGGAAAGAGAGAGAAAAGAATCACCATCTGGTCAATGGACTTTGCTTCGGTGCTTTTTTCGTTGGTAGGGCCTGACACGATAGCGTACCGTCGCAGCCTCTCTTTTTCTTTGCCAGATGCAACGCAGAGCTATAGTTGATTCGAATCTGCCTTTCTCGCGACGTGCGTATCTCTGCGATACGTTACTCGGTACGCGTAACGAGTATACGTCGGACACGAGGTGCAAAAATCCACGTGCGTTCTCGGGCAAAGCTTTACGCGGTGGCGACGGTGACGCGTGTGCGCGTGAGATTCGAGGTTTAAAGCGAAAGTACGGCGAAATCGAGATGTTGCTTCCGTCAGATAAGATGCATTTACCTGTTCGTCACGAGTGTTATTTGCACGAAGCGTCGTCGAGCGACGAAGGGGCAGGTTCGGAAAAATTCACCTGACGGGGACAAGGAGTTTATTGTGATTCTCGGGGGCCGTTTATCTGAGGCAGGAACCGGCCGGCAGCTGTTAGCACGCGCCAAGGATGAACCGAGCCTATCTGTTTTCGTTTTGTCGACAAACACCGCCATTCTAATATTCGAACGCGATACCTTTCGAGCCGGAAGAAAAGGGAGGAGATTTATTTCCGACGCCTACACCTGGCGGCTCCTGGTAAATATCGGCTACGTCGATATTAGCTCGCGAGTCCAGTTCCTTTCCTCGAATAATCCAACGAAACGTATCTCGTAACTCGAGACACGACGAGACATCGTGTCTCCGAGAGGTGTTCCGATACGATTCGAGACGCGGATTGAACGCGACGGAATGAAAACGGGATGAAAACGGAATGAAAACGGAATGAAAACGGAATGAAAACGGAATCGAGACGGGAGAGAGACGTCGTTTCCGTTAAAAACCTAAGCGTATTATTACGCTCGAACTCGTTTCGAAAGTTAATCTCGTCGTCGATCTCGTCGTGTTCCTATTTCGACGTTAAACCAGCGATCCGCGAAGATATCGGCGATCGGAATCGCGACCGAGCGGTATCGTAAAATGATTCACCACGGGGGTTCCCCGATCGGTACGCGGTCGGCGAAGGTCCTGTGATCCTTGCTCGTGCGATGGCCCACCAGGGCATCTCGTTAGTCTCGATCAGGAAACGGAATTATCCTCCTCTCGTCGCGACTTTCACCACCAGAGAGAGGTATATACCTAGAGGAAGATTTCTTCTTCTGGCCGTCGCGACACGGGTCCCCGCGCGATCGACCGCGACACCGAGCGAAGATCGGGTAGAAATTCGGCGTAGAGAATTTCGCGATATAGTCGGGGTCGGACTGGTAGAGGAACGGAGCTCCGTGTCCTCGTTTGAAACGGGAAACGAGGTTCGCGCGGTTGTCAACCGGGAACGATCGTACCACGTGCAGCCTCGGCGCCACGTGGTAAGAATGTGTTCGGCATGCGTGCTGCTGTCCCGTAAAAAATGCTTGCTCGCGAAATCGCGCGTAAAAATAGAACGGGGCAACAAGTGGTCGCGTGGACTGTCGCGCTTGGGCACACGAGTCGCGACGAGTTGGCGGTTTCACCGCGGGATCGAATTGGTCCTAGAGCGATCTCGCGCGACCACCCGCCGCCATTCTTACGACGCTCGACGACAAGTAGAGATTATCAACTCGACTCACCGCCAAAGCTTCCCCAGGGTCTTGGACAGCTCCGCATTGTGACGCTGAGGATACTGATCGGCAAGTATTCTCCTTGCAGCCTGAGCCCATACCATAAACGCGTTCATCGGTCTCTTCACGTGGGCCGGTCTTTTGTCGCCGGAACCCCTGCAATTCGAGGACATTATCTTCATTGGAAACGATCGTTTTCTTCGAACGCAGCCTCGGTCTCGAAACGAAAAAGGGGTTACGCGAGAAAAGGGACAAGATTTTTCTGCGAAGCAGAAACCAAGACCGCGATGCTAGCGTCTACTGGCGCGAGAAAATAACCAGAGGCTGCGACGACGAGCCTGGTATCCTCGCGTATCCAGAGTTTTGTACCCGCGAAGCCACCCCCGGCCGGCCGGGTCATCCGAAGGAACGCGGCACATAGGAATGGACGTATCCCTTTCTTTCCTAGAAGATGACTTCATAAAACCGTTGCCCCGTCCAGCCGGGGATCGACGTGACTGACGTGATTGCCGTACAAGCCCTTCTCGCGCTGTTTTCTTTCTGGGATTAATCGAACCTCGTTCGAGGAGCTTGCACCGCGCCGTAACCGAACCGAACCGAACCGAACCGAACCGACCATCGACCGCGCGTACGTAGTAGAAACCCGAACGAGAACCGAAAGAGACGCAGAAGAAATGGACCGGAGGAAACGCATATAAGGTATCGCGTACCTGTCGACGATAGAACGAGGTGCCTGTGCACCGGTAGCCGAGACTTTTCAACAAGAAGCACGGACGCGATCGTTTCGAAAGGTCGCGGAGAGAAAGAATTCGAGAAAAGAGGCTCGTATATATTTCGGCCTCTTTGAAATAAGAGGGGCGTTAAATCCGTGAGTAAACCCGAAGAGCCGTTGGTAATTAGCGCGGGTCCACTAACAAGGGTTTTCACGGGAGTCGCGAGTCACTTCGCTATACGCGGTTTACTCGGATACGCGAAAAATCTTCGAGTCTTTACACCTCGTTTACACGGTTTTGCGGAATACTAGGGGCAGAGGTGCGTAGGGGCGTGGCAGCGTCCAACGTCGTTCAAGCTGCACATTTTTCTATCCCGTTCTCTCTCTCTCCTCCTCCACCGCGCGCCGATTCTCTTGGTCGTTCGTTACGCGATTTCACGGCAAAAACTGCCGATCGACGTTTAAACGTCGAGACGCGTTTGTTACCTCCCCGGTTCGTACGAACGGCTCGAGCTCTCGATAAACGATAAGTGGACGGTTAGGGGCGGGAGGGCGGCGGGCAGAGATGAGCGAGAGTTACGCGGAGAAACACGGTACGTATACATGGAACGAACGAAGGAAACGCGCGATAGTTTGGCTGCATTCTCATGGATTTCATGGGAATTAAAACTAGTCGATTTTATCGTGCCCTATCGTTGGAAATAAACATCGTACCCCCTTTAGCTACCCCGAGATAACCCCGTATAATTGAGGGTTAGCGCGATAAGCTGTCGCGCATAGCGATACACACGCTCGGAGATTTCAACCGTAGCCGGTTGAAATTTTCCGTGAGCAAACCCGTATGCACACCTATGCGCGCCTATACCCACGCTCCTCTACCCCCGGTAGTCCGTTTCGCAAAACCGAAATCTCCACGAAAATTTTCTTCCACGTCCCAAACATTCGCATCGCGGAACAACGAATCGCGATTCCGCCGACGAAACGGAGTCGCCTTCATCCACGCTCCGATTTTCTCGAATCGTAACGATCGTCGGGAACGTTCCCCTTTCCTCTCGCAAACGATGCGCAAACCAAAGAAAAAGAAATAAATAAATAAAACGTCGTATCGCTCGTCCTTTGCGATCTCCCTCCCCCCTCCCTCTCTCTTTCTCTCTCTCTCTCTCTCTCTCTCTCTCTTGCTCGGTCTCCCCTGTTTCCCACGAATCGCGATCGCAACGCGACGGACAGAAATAGCGACGAAAAGCCTGCGGTCGAGATCGGGCATTAATTAGCTAATTTGCGTTAATTGGCAGCCGAGGACACATTTCCACGAGCCGTTTCCCAAGCCGAGGAAACCAGTGCGTCATAATTAAGTTAGCGTTACGTATTTTTACACCCTCGAGTTCCTTTCCTTCTTTACCCTTCATTTTCGCCGCGCGTCCACTTCGCTAACCATCTTCGCTAAACACCGCGTTCCGAGATACGGCTATTTCGGAAGGAAGGAGGAGTTTTCGCGTTTCTATCTGAAAAGAAGCCGCGTGAAATAGCGCAAAGACGAGTAACACGGCAGGCAGGAGGGTAGGATATATAGATATATGGCGAGTCGGCGTGGTCGAATCTCGATATCGCGCGGAAACACGTGCAACGCGCAAACAATTGCGGGACCGAACGTAAAACTCACTTGGTAACAACAGGATCCAGGGTCCAATCGTACCCCCGAAGAACTTTGGTGACCGCCGCGCTGATTCTCTCTCCTCCTCCGTTCGCCGTAGCCGTAGCCGCGACAGCCGACGTTTTTCCATTGTTGTTCGCGTTGCTGCCGCCATTGTTGTTACCATTGTTGATACCGTTAGCAACGTTGGCAGCGTTATTGCCAGTTGCCAACGAGCTGTTGGAATTGCCGGGATTGGCAGACAAAATCGAGGAGGATGCCTCTGCCATAATGTCGTTCATCTTGTGGATTTTATTGGATCGCGAGAGCAAAGGGAGAAACGATGCGCGTCCGACGAATCGAGCGATTTATCGCGCGCTACGAGCGTTCATCGTTCGAAAGAGAAGCTACACGTTACCGAGCAACGGTTCATCGATTAATTGCAATTACCATTTTATCGTAACGGTAACGCGTCACTTCCGTTTCTCGCGCTTCTGTTTCAGCTGCGGCCAAGATCGTTTCTCTCCTTTTCTCTTCGATTCCTCCTCTCCGCTTCGTTCCCTCCGATGGCCTGGTATCGGAGCGGCGCGTACGTTTGTCGCGTTTAATTAATTTCGCACTCGATTACGGAGCGAGCAAACGCAAGAGAACGAGCATCGGACGTGCATGTCGAGCCGTCGGCTATGCCTCGAGGTCTCGGTCTATCATCCAAACACTTTTTTCTCCTCGTGCCACTCCAACCACGGCAATTCTAATCTGTTCTTCTTCCTCTTCTTCTTCTTTGCGTATCGGCTCCGTTTTACTCTTTTTTTTTCCTTCGTTTCCGCTATCGGCCGCTCTTTCTCTCTCTCTCTCTTTCTCTCTTTTTCGCTGCTTCTCCCCAACTGTCCACCACACGATCGACGTTTCGGAACGCGAGCGTGTTAACTCTAAACTGCGTATTCCTCGCTTTCCCGGTCTATCGGCCTCGATCTCCTCCTCGCTATCCCGTCACTTCTCGGAACTCGTTCTATCGCCGAAATACTTTGCCGATAGCCTCGTCTCTAGCGTCACTCGGTTAGCTGCCGATCGCGAGCACCCTTTCTCACCGATTACTCGCGCACATACACCGCCGATTCTTCTAGTCCACGATATCTTCGCCGATTCCGCGCGGCTCCTACTTATCACCGTGCCGATCACCGGGATCAGTCGAAATTTACTCCAGTCGAGGATATCTCGCGCGATTATCCTCTCATCGCTCGACTCGATACCGGCGCGAGAATGACAATGACCAAGATGATGATCACCGGACCACGAGGATCGCGAGAACGACGATGAGGAGAATAACGACGAGACAGAGGATCAAGACGAGGATGAGGATCAGGATGAGGATGAGGATGAACGACGACGACGACGGCGACGGCGACGACGGCGACGACGACGACGACGACGAGGACGGTGACGATTACGATCTACCGTCATAGAATTGGCGAATCGATTTTCGCCAGCCATACCTGTTCCACCAAATAAAACACCTGATCGAACGAACGATCTTCGTGCACGATCTTCGTAGCGAACATTTTTTTTATTTACCAAGGAAACACGGAAACGATAAAGCTGTCACTTTGCTGGAAACAAGCTCGAAAAGATAATCACTCGGTGGAGAAGCGCGGAACCACCACGATACGCGGGCACGTGCGTCAAGATCGCGCGACGATCATAAACATCGTTGTCTCGCGTATGCGCGCACACGCTCGTCGTTTCGGCGAACGAAAAAGAAAACGAAAGGAATGAACGCGAGCGAGCGAGCGAGCGAAATGCCAGAGCGTGAAACGAGGATTTCTAGTTGCTTACGCGATCGACGCTTGAGTGAGGTGGTTGAATCGCCTCGGGGCACTTTCCACCGATCGCTCCGACAGCGGCTGCTAGTTGGGGGCGGAGCGACGGGCCAAAGAGCTCCTAACACTTGTTGCTTCGCGATCGTGCCCACCGATGAAGCTCGCGACGAGGGGAAACAGACTTCCGATGCTTTCTTTACCCACCCGACGGTCGACGCTCGACGCTCGACGGTCGACGCTCGATGGTCGACGGTCGACGGTCGACGGTCGACGGACCACCGATCCAAATCGAAATATCTCGCTGAACCGAAACTCGAAAACTCGTCCGACTCGTTTACCACCCGGCCGATCCTCCTCGCTCTATCGCTATTACGTCGCGAAACTAGCGAGACTCGGTTCGCGTTATTTCGATGCTCCAACGAGAAAACGAAGAAACGCGGTTACGGAGTCAACGATCTACGTCATAGCGTCTCGTTCGACGGGAAAAATCTTCGATTCTCTTCGTCTTTTCCGACGCGAGGACCAACGATATACCGAGTGCCGTCCAAGCAAGAGATATCGAATTCGAGCATTTGATTCTCTACCGACTGTTGCCGCCCCACCAACGATCCCTGCTCAGCGTGTCGTTTATTTCGGAATCCTGTCTCTTTC